GCACGCATTCACGAAATATTCAATCAATGCATATTTGCGATCAGCAGTATGCTTGCCGTAATTGTTGTTTCTTATCTTTTTACTGCCCCAAGCCCCTCAATTTAAGTACTCTTCGCACTGTCAGTAGCGGGAATGGTGGGTAATACGACATGACTCTCTGTGGCCGCAGAGCTGCAGCGGCCTTCCTCCGACTACGAAGACGATTCTGTTGTGGAATCCCCCAACACCAGAGGACAACCTAGGTTTTGGACCAAGCCAAGGAATCAACATCTTCCAGGTACATACGCTGATGCAGCGAATTACATCTGGGTGTAAAATGGGACAGGAATCGAACGTTTGTGTTGCTCTTCCCATTTATTTATTTGGTACATTCTATACTTTATTGTAACACTGCACGTTTTCAGTTTCTCACTTAGTTGTTCGTTTCTCGTGGTTTCCCTGGTGGAGACCTGGCGAACGACGGAGCAGTGTCCTAACAAACGGGCCACTAACCGCGCGGGTTCTTTGCAATCTCATTGTCCTATCCTCTCCCGTTACTTACACACACACACTTACATGCGCTAAACTACCACATGCTGGTAGACCAGTAAGGCTTGTCCCGCCGGTGGGAGATACCTGGTTGAGGAAAAAACGTACACGCTCTCAGGTAGGTCGGCGCCGGATCTCGCCATCCAGCGGGGGAAGATCACCGCCATGTCCCGCTATAAAAATATGCACTACACATACGGGAATAATGACGCGCGGGAAATCACTAATCAATCAATTAAAGGAGCTCGCTTAATACAGGGTCTCTGTAATGCATTATATCGTTTTTAAAATGACAGAACTTGTAAAGTATAACATTATTACAGTACCGACAGCGTATAAGCGACTCGAACGATTCAGTACGTTGTTGTTGTTGTTGTTGTTGTTGTTGTACATAACTACGCACATGGCACCACCTGCATCACAGAAAAATGGAATGTCAAAACATTACCGCTCATTCCCAGGCTATGGCACGTCTTGATATCACTTTCGCCAAAGCAGAATCCTCTCGCCTCCCCGACTTCGTGCGAGTCAGATGAGCGGCACCGCCGAACCCTGGCTGTGGGAAAGTAAACAATTCCTCGCGAGCTGATTGCTTCGCAGCAGGTCACATGACCTGGCGAGAGAACTATCCGAGTCGCTCATACGCTGCCGCCATCGCGGGGCATAATGCTTTCAGGACATCTCTTGCCGGCCGAACGACTGCTTCATGACGAGCAACCGGTCGCTCATGCCCACCTCCTCCTACGACGCCGTCGTCATCTACAACACGCAGCCCGTCACGCGCCCCATCGCAAAGAAGCGCCGGCGCGAGCAGAGGCGAGTCCTTCCGTTCAATCAAGCAAAACTGTCGGTGGCTAAGGCTGTCAGGCCTGATCTTCCGCCTGACCACGCAAATCGTCAAATTGGTCTTTGAGTGTGTGTGTGTGTGTGTATGTGCGCGCGTCAGATTGGAGAAAGAGAGAGAGAGAGAGAGAGAGAGAGAGAGAGAGAGAGAGAGAGAGAGAGAGAGTAGAACGAGTAGCAATTATTTTCTTTGAAGCACATCACTCAGACCCAAAGAAATTCGAACCGATTCAAAACCTATTCATCTCCCGTGGTTCCCACAGACTGCACCGGTGAAAAGCACGTCTGAACGTTGCGTCATCCACCTGAATCGGCAGATGTGTCACTCCCGAGCTATTGACTCCTTCCAGAAGTGAAAATTCTGCTTAAAGCAGGCCTGTAAAACGCCTGCTCTTACGGGCATTTTACACTTATGAGCCAGCCGTCTGTCCGCGAGAGCTGCCAAAGTGCAAGTTGTGGGTTGTAGGCAACTTCGGGGAGAGAGGAGTAGCGGCGCTTAGATTGAATGCCTGCGTGTCCAATGCAATGATTTTTGTTGGCAAATGATTTAGCAACTTATTTATCAGTAATTCAACAATCAGTATCAGTAATGAGCTGGCCAGTTATTTATCCGTAATCTATCGTAATTCCTAACTCTTGGAAATGTGAAAAGTTTATTTTGAATAACTAGAAATAGCAAAAAACATTGAATGTAACACCTCCTCTATTAGTCTTTACGGACTCAGCCAGTACCTTCCGGCATCGTCCTTAAAGACTAATTTAGAGGACTTGTTACATTATTACTATTAAATCGAGTATGAAAAAAACGATGTGGCTGAAAAAATACTATTTCTACTGCCATTGATAAATTTGTAAATGTGAAAAAAATTAAAATTTAATTTAAAATTATGACATGAAATTGTTTAATTCAAAGTTTATCATTTATTTTCTGTAATAATATATTGTAATAAAGGTCCCACACCTAAAATTTAGTTTACAATCACAAAATTAAATTAATGATATGTCTTTAGTTATGGGCCTCCCATAATGTGTGTTGGTCGAAGGACTTCCTCTGTTGATGTTACACCCCCGCATGAGACGTTTCAAAAACACACATCTACCGGCATATTTATGAGTAAATTTGTTTAAAATCAAAATGCATGCAACATTATATAGTGTTTCGTTGCATTTGTAATATGTCAACATGTTCACAAATAATGTAACAAATGCAACTCGGCCACTGCTTGAGATTCACTTATTTGACTAAATATTAACGAACAAAGTATTAAGTTCAATTCTGAAAGATAATAAGAATTTTTGTATATTTATTTTATTATTTTATTTAATAGGTAATTATTACAAACGAATTAGATTACTTGACCCTATGTGGCTAGGCCGAAAGCCTTTAAGTCATTACAATACCTACATCCTTTCGCGTTCTAATCTTTCGAATTCTGGTATTCACCCCAAATGGTCTCTCCATCGCATCAAAGTCGCGGAAAAAAGACCACAAGGTACGGCTCAGGAAAAAACCTCTGAAGGGGGAAAAACCTGCCGTCAGAAGCCGGGTACATTCTAATCTATCCGACGTTTATGTACATGAATTTTTGTATATGAACTGCAATTGTATCACTCGTGTTACGATTTCAAAGAGTTAAGACTTCTCTGAGACCAGGAAGAGATTGTTCAGGGGAGCTAATCGAATGTATCCACTGGCTGAGCTGCGTACGACAACTGTTGCTCCTGCAGCCCCTCTGATCTGGAGGTCCAAGGCTTCGAGTCCCGACGGTGGCAGGATTTTCGACACTAATTTGTCAGTTAGATCGAATTCAGTCGCTGCCTGGAGGAGCATTCTAGCGACCGGCTGCTATGCTAGGTAGTTTTCCGTGATTTCTCCGATCAACACCACGCGAATGCTGGAGCAATACCCTCACAAACGGGCCACGGACCGCGCACGATCTTTCCTTCTTCTTCCTTGACCTATCTTCATCCGGTACACACACAGACACTTACACTAACATGCACTACACTACCACACATGCCGGGAGACCGGTCGGGAGCTTAGAGCTTGTCCCGGCTGGGTGGGGTCCTGCTGGTGTGGGATACCTGGTTGGGCAAAACCCGCTAGCTACCCTAACAAACGATCTAAGGACCACATGCGATTTTTCCTTGTCATATTACTTTACACACGGAAATGCACTTACACGCCTACCCTACCGCACCAGATCGGGAGACCAGCATTAGAGCTTGTCCCGACAGGGGCGTTGCCTCGCTGGCGAGATATCTGGAGAGGAAAATCTCTGTAAACCCAAGTATATGTCTGCGGAATACGCGTTTCAGAGGGGAAAACGGCCTGGTGTATGCTCTTATTTTTTTAATTTAAAAATTAAGCAAAACATCCCCACAGACGAAAATAACAACCAATCCTATTCTCTTATACCTCTCACTCTTCCCAGCTTGCGTAGATCACATACCACATTTTATCCGTGAATAAGTAATTAAATATCACCACGAAACTCATCAGCTAACAACACCCAAAACAAGCTCCCCCAAAAATATCTATGTCAAAAGTTTTTCTTCAGCTCTCAATTCCTACATAACAAAATCATTAACTAAATTACTACACACATGATTAATATCAGAAAACCATTAGATATTGCGTTGTGAAACACCGGGGCTGCTCAAGTGTGGCGTGACCAGCCCTGTGCCTATCTGTGGGCCAACCAATGCGACCATCCGTTTGTCCTACGGTAGAGTGGCGCTTCAACGCGATCGGCTCTGGTCTAGTGAAAGGCGAGAAGCTCTCGGACCACTGCAGTGGGGCATCGCGGGCGATCTGACCTCCCTCCTCGCATTCGAGTAGGCCTCTGTCGCGCACTGTCTCTTCTTCGCCATCCTGTCTGCACGTCCGTCGATGGCGTGTTCTTATTTCTCATGTGGCCTCTGCCCCATGACTTTCAACGATTTATAAGTTTGTGAATCTGGGCGCGTGCGCCACTGCTATGGCGATTAAGTGTAAGTGTAGTGCATGTGTTATCACGGGATGTGGCGGTGTTCTTCTCCAGATGAATGGCGAGATCTGTCGTCGACCTACACCTAAGGCTTGCGGATTTCCCCTAAGCAGGTTTCTCCCTCCAGCGGGGCACAGCTCCAACGGGGACAAGCTCTAAGCTCCCGACCGGTCTCCCGACATGTGTGGTAATGTAGTGTATACCAGCGTATATGTGTACCAGTTATATGTGTAGGGGACGATAGGGCAAGGAAGAAGAAGGAAAGATCGCGCGAGCTCCGTGGCCCGTTTGTTAGGGTTCTGCTCCGGCATTCGCCGGGTGTTAATAAAAAACAGGGAAAACTACCGATCAAAGAAGCCGGTCACAAGAATTCTTCTCTAGACAGCGGCTGAATTCGACATAGCTATCTAGCTGGCGTGGAAAATTCTGCCACCGTCGGGTCTGGAACCTCAGGCCCTCCCGGTCGAAGAGAACAGCAGATAGTTCGATATGGAAGCCCTGAGACACGGCAGCCTCTGAGATGTGTCGATTCTTTCTTCGCCTGTTTCAACACTGACAAAGAGCTTGTTCTGTGCTTGCAGGTACATCTTCTACATGCCGCATCCGCCGTTGCTCTTCGAAAACCACACGAAGTACAACATGGAGACGATCCTGCCCAAGTACTACAACTGGACGATGTCGTACCGCGCGGACTCCGACATTTCTTTCCCGGGGGCGCAGGTGCGCAGAACACGGCGACTCGAGTTGTATTCACTGACAATAGTTTTTACAAAATTTCACTTCAGTGTTGTAAGGAAACCGGAATATTTTAAACGAAACCATTTAGAAACGTGGTGATAACATAAGGTTACCCCACTGCCCAGCCATTTATGGTGAATCGTTTGAAGTAATCGATAGCTCTATGAATCTTCTGCGCATGCGCACTAATGCTTCACATCGCTCTTGTGCATGGTGGAAATACGTGGGCGAGTTCCTCTGCCGCACCGATTTTTGCTCGTTCTGCGAAGCTCCAGGTTCCGTCACGAACCACGTGACCACAGCGCGGGCACTACGTTTAAAAAACCACGTCAAACGCTGGCCGCCATGTTGCGTGAAGAGTGGCGTAATGTGATAATTTTTAACGGTAACAAACTTTCTCCAGACGGTTCGTGCTTCCTGGGGGTCGAAAATAGTGTCAGTTGTCAATAGCTGTTGATTGTAAGAATCCACAAATGAAATAGATATTGACCATTTTATTTTTATCATGAGAATTTGTTGGGTAAAAATGTTTCTGCATAAATATATTGATCTGAAGAAAATATGGAAAGCAAAACATCGATGTTGTAATATCGATATTTCTGCCCAAAAATATCGATATTTTAGAAACATCGATGCTTTTTGCCATATACTGCGACCAGGATGCAAAGACATGGATGCTTGCAAAGACAATAGTTGTTTGTCGTTTTGTGACTTCCATATAATAGAAAACTGATGATGATGATGGCTAAGCTATCGAAAGCTGCTCTTGTAATGAACAATACTGTTGGCAACGACGACTCATAATGATATCATTGTTATAAACCATTGGAACAGACTAAGCATTTTTTATTTAACTACACCATCATCGTGTTATGTTTGGTTGATCATCTTTGAGAGTCGTAACTTTAGTATCAAAATATGTTTCTCAACACTTCGCTTGCCGTGCAGCATGGCGGTCAGACTTTGGATTGTCTTTTCAAACGAAGTGCCCGTGTTGTAGTCACGTGGTTTGTGACGTAGCAGGTGCTGCGCAGTACGAGCAAAAATCGGTGCATCGGACCATGTCTTTTCATTCATGATGAGCTATCCATGTCTTTTCATCATGGATGTGACATCCCCAACAAAACATCGATGTTTCTAAACGTATTCTAAATTCAAAAATAAAACATCGATGGTAAACATCATCGCACCTAAACAATAGATGTTTTAAAACTGGATTAGTACGCATACATGTTCACGCCGAAGAATTTAAATTTGAAGGTGGTCGAGTTCATTCAATTTTAATTGCAATTAGACTGAAAAAGAAATCAGCCACGATCAGCACAATTACACACAATAAAAATTTTATTTTCTGATTGGATCTTCCCCAAAAATGATTTAAATTTCATTTATCGACAGAAACTCGATTAGATTTATTTTTCACCCATGGTCATTTGGGCCTGAATAATGTTCAGTGTTGGATATCAGGAAATTTTTATAGGTATGTAATAATTCTGGAAAATTATTAGTTTATGGTACTTTTTTTCATTAAAAATAAAATATCAAAAAGGTAAAAGCATCGAACACAAAACATCGATGTTAAATTAACATCGACTTAAGAAAATCGGTGTTAAATACGTATATGATTATTTTTTAAAACATCGATATTGATGTCGCATCTCTAGTACAGGCACCGTAAACCCTCATAGTAGGGAGGTGACATCGATGCCGATGGTGTTAATTAAAGCTGAAGTTGTATGACATCGACGTTTCGAACTCGAAGCTCTGTTTGTGAATGAAAACGTCACTTAATCACAATTTTGTGAAAATGAACATATAAAATATGTTTTGTATTTTAAACGTGATTAAAGTGCACACTTCTAATCACACTTGTTCTAAGCCTTTTCCAAGCTAAATTTGTCTTTATTCCTCTGTCTTTATTCCAGTATTAAAGTGACACTTTAACCCCTCCAGGATTAAACTAACTACAGAATGGGGTTACAGTTATTCTTCGGGAATAAAGTAACCACACCCACCAGCGACTCTCATTATCTTTACAATGTGAGAAACAAAAAGGGTTCGGATGTACCGTAAGTCTAAGATAATACATATACATAAGTTAAAATCTAATCTTCAACAATAAATATTGATTGTCACAAGCTTCTTTAACAAGTTTGTAAAATTCAAGCTTTGTTAAAGTGCTAGTTGTTTAGTAGTCTTTTCCATGCCTTTTTTAAAAATACAATCAATTTACATTATCTAAAAATGTTAATATTAATGAAAACGATAAACACGTATCATCAACAATTTTTCCTAAAAAAATACCTATGTACTTACTAAGAGATACTATCAACTATTTCTGAGACACATAACGTTGCCCTCACCATTAAATAATTCTCCAAATGGATGAAGACTTGTATGGTGTGATTTATTGTTAATATACATGAGTACAATTTCTTCTTAAATCTTTCTTCTTTGTCATTTCTCCATTTGCAGTAACGTATGGTTGCGTGCGTGTAGAAAGGGCGAGTGCTTTGTGGCGAGTGCTTTGTGGCGAGTGCTTTGTGGCGAGTGCTTTGTGGCGAGTGCTTTGTGGCGTGTGGCCGTGGCGTGTGGCCGTGGCGTGTGGCCGTGGCGTGTGGCCGTGGCGTGTGGTCGTGGCGTGTGGCCGTGGCGTGTGGCCGTGGCGTGTGGTCGTGGCGTGCGGCCGTGGCGTGTGGTCGTGACGTGTGGCCGTGGCGTGTGGCCGTGGCGTGTGGCCGTGGCGTGTGGCCGTGGCGTGTGGCCGTGGCGTG